GCTGGTGGGCGGGCAGTCCCTCCGGACTATGCCGGAAGGTAGGGCGGAAGGCCCTCTTCAGCCGCCTTTCAGGAATTGTGGGAATGGGTGGGTGGTAGATCGGGTGAGAAAGATGAAACGGACGAAATGAAGACAGAAGAGAGTGAAAGATTATCTGTGGAATATTACTGCTTCAGCATTTGCCTAAGTGATCCAAGGAAACCACAGAAAAACTTGAGCCAAGACAGACGGACCCGGAATCGAACCGACGTCCTCCCGAATGGTAAGCAATGGACTAAACCTCTAGGTCATGCCACTCGGTTTTATCATAGGCATTCTCTATGTAAATACGAATTCATATAGACTCAGTTTACAGTTACCCTTACTGTTCTAAAAACATTAGCTTCAAAATTTGGCCATCATCAGTCAACGTGAAGTATGTTTCTTTATTACTGATTACGCTTTATTAAAAAGACGATAGAATGTTCTGGCAGACATAGATTATTGCAACATCGATAACAGGTCATTACAGTCATAATAAAAACATTTTTTTCAGCGACAAATAAACAATTTTTTTCATGCAATATATTGACGTAATATGAATGTTATATCATTGTTGCTGCCGGTTAGTAAACAAAGAAATTTCTCGATCTTGATAACTAATATTTACAATATGATATAATCATATAATCTATGTTTAATCCGTTATTAAATAAATGTAATCCTTAAGGAAATAAATTTATAGGACGTACTGGAAACGAAAGCGATAAGAGTCATTCGATCATAATTTATTGTAAAAAAACATTTAGTGTTAGTGGGTTGACAAGTTTTTTAATCAGCTGTAAAGTATATGCATCCGTATAGATCAGAAATAGTCTATAGGGCTTAATCAATTTTTTTTATTTTACATTCGCTAGTGATAAAAAATTTTTATTCTGAAACAGTTAATCTTCCACAATTTCTGCATTGTTATTTAAAACGTCTTCCTCAAATTTTAGTTTCTTTGCTGGTGGTCCTTCTAAGCAATTATTTTTATCCATTTCAAATACTTGCGCCGTTTGCGAACATATTTCATTCCAGGCATAATCAATATCATCTTTCAGAGTCAATCTACTACAAACCACGAACCTTATGACGTATTTTTCTCGAAAATAACACGGTATACAATAGATATTTTTCCTCTCTGTCAGTAACTGCTGTAGCTTTTCGGTCAAAATATTTTTTCCTTTTATTCTAAAACAAACCAGCCCCAACTTCTTGGTGCTAACTTCGAATCTTTTGTCGTTTTCCACAAGTTCTTCGAAATAATTGGCTAATCCGATCTGTGTCCTGATATGTTTCTGAATGCCCTCGACTCCGTAGATACGCATGACGAACCACAATTTCAAAGCTCTAAATCTTCGACCTAAAGAAATCTGCCAATGTCTATAATCAGGCATAACACCTTCGTGTTTGTGTTTCAAATAAATCCTGTCCACGGCAAAGGTGTCCACCAAATGCTTCGAATTTTTCACCCAAAGGGCCGAACAATCCGAATTCACCAAAAGCCATTTGTGAGGATTGAAATTGAACGAGGTGGCGTATTTAACACCTTTCATGTAATGTTGGTATTCTGGACATGCAAAAGCCGATCCGGCATAAGCAGCGTCTATGTGAAGCCAAAGATCCTCTTCGTTACATATAGGTCCAAGTTCTTCTAAATTGTCGAAAGCACATGTACCTGTTGTACCTAAATATAAAACAAATAAACATTACGACAGAACCACGATTAATGTGAAAATTTATTTACTTTTTTCATCCACTCAAGTTAATGAGATATAATGAGGAAGAATTTATTTTATTTAGGTACCTCATTCACTTGAGGTAATTTACAGTGGATGAAAAAAGTTAAAAGTCAAAGTGTTTAATATATAACCACGATTGTTATAAAATAAGATGATATCAGTTGAATCATAAATTCTTATTAAGCTTTAAAAAACATTTTATACTTACAATTAAATAAATTTAAGTAGCCAACAATATTCATATCCTTATCATTATCCATTACTAATAATAAATTAGGAAGTTTACGTTAGATGATATGTGTATAGAAGTAAAGGAAAAGTTTAAAGTAGGTAAGAAATAAGAAATAGGTAAGACAGTTTGGTGGGACACCTTTATGGGCCAGTTAGAAACATATTAGGATCAAAAGCAGGAGTTATGAGGGGTAGAGGTACACCTAAACTAAATTATTATTATTATTAGCAAAAGACATAGGTTGCTCAAGTTTTGGAGAAATGCGAAAACATAGAGAAGTGAAGGTGCATGTCCAAGCAGTTAACAAATAAATACCTAGCGTAGCAACGACGTAGCATGGTATAAGTCCTTTCTTCCTGTCTTCTTCTATCGCTTTTTTTAACGTCTCGCCCCTTAAGATGCAATCGCTATCGGCCGGTAAAAGTCTCATTTTCATGGATCCGAGTATTCCAGCCTTCTCCACGGAGGAGTTAGCTTGATCAGAGGTATACGCAACAAGTTTCCCTTTGATATCGTTCTCAGTCATGTCTGGATGCTTTTGTTTAAAAGTCCGCACCATTTTTTCTTTCGCTGTTAAAAGGGCTATTAAAGTACTCTCGCTTGCAGAACCCTAAACAAAAGTTATATAATTTTATGTACGTTTATTTTTATCGGAATTAACAACACTCAGAATAGAGTATTTACAAGTTTTACATGACGATAAAATTTAAACGACAGAATTTTGAGAACAGAAATATTAAGTACATCAGAATTTCGTGTCGAAATGCGCGAACATACCAAAGTAACTGATATTTTCAAGGTTTAGTGGTATTTTAAGATAATTTTACCTACAAAAACTAATCATACTGTAGTTAAATACAACTCTTTTTTTTTTAATTTTAGATTTTGAACAAAAATATGCCATTTTCTTATGCTGAAAAAAGTCGCCAATATGTTAACCCTTTCTGATAAAATATAATGTTAAAGATACTGTTATTTGTAGATAGTACTTTACGTATATGAGAGTTTCTGGTAAAAGTTTATTATTCTTTGACTGCATACTGAGAAACAAAATAGTATAAAAATAATTGGTTGTCGTTTGTCTATGCTGACCTGTATGACTCCACCACCATTTCCACCTGCACAGTTAAGAAACTCTTCGGGCAAATGCAATAACTTTCCCAACCAGTTCATCATCATTACTTCGAGTTCTGTACATGCCGGACTGGCCTCCTAAAAAGGTCAAGTTCCTTTAGAAAGTAACAGCATACCATAACAACGCTTATTTCTACTACTACTAATGCATAAATATGTATTAAAATTGTATTTGTATAGGTAAGTGTGTAATATTCACGTAGCCCGCGTCTGATGTCTGCGTTCTCATGTCTCATTTCGAGAGAAATTCCGGTCGCATTTTCTATATTACGCAAAGTAGACAAAAAATATGTGACTGCTAAAATATGATATCTAACAGTTATTGTGTCACCTTGTGAGCTGTACAGGGTGACCCAAATATTAATGCTAGAAAATGAAACGGAATTGAATTTTCAAGGATTAAACGTTTCGAATATTTTACCATATATTAATAATGTACCTATTATATAACGAAATAGATCTTTCTCAGCAATTCGAAAAATATGTCTTCTTACGTATATTCAAGTTTAACTTGTTAACTGTTTATCTATAGTTATTGATCATGATTACACAAAAATTTTGTTTAATTAAATTAATTGAGTTCCTACAGGAATAATCGAGATTTACTATTTTAATGTAAATGAATCAATTGCAACAAAAACTAATCTTTTGTAATTCTAAATCGAGATTCATTTTCCAATGTTGATGACCACCAAACAGTGATCTTTTTGATTTTATGAAACGAAAGGGAAGGAAGAAAACTAAAAGCATCAACTAATAGAAAACGCTTCACAATTTTTTTTCCAATAAATGAAGAAGCTGATTATACGGGTAGTATTTTCAAAACATCATATTTCTGTGTTTGTGGTATTTAGTTTTTTCTTATTATTAGATGATATAGCAGTATTAGCATCTAGCAAAGACGAATTAGAAATAACTCTAAATAAAATGGAAGCGGTACTGACAAAACAGTACTGTATGAAAATAAATAAAAGTAAAACAAAAATACTAATATGCAAGGGAAACAAGGCAGGGAATGAGCAAATATAAAGATAAGAAACGAAAAATTAGAAGTGACTGATTTTAGGTACCTATCTAGGAAGTCAGATAAGTCAGAACGGAAGGAATAGTAGGAATATAAGGGATAGAGCAGGGTCGTGTCGCCTTCAATAAACAGAAGTCACTTCTGTGCTCGCGAACGATTAATTTAGAAATTCGAAAAAGGTTGTTAAAGGTATATGTTTAGAGTGCGACGCTATACGGGTGTGAAACATGGAAAAGAAAAGGTTAGAAGCATTCGAAATGTGGTGTTACAGGCGAATGATGAGAATACCGTGGGTAGAGAAGGTTAGAAATGGAGTGGTATTAGAAAGAATAGGAGAACAGAGGACTGTATGGAAGTCAATAAAAAAAAGGCGAGATAGGTTGGTAGAACACCTTCTTAGGCATGAAGGTCTAGTCAGAGACATATTAGAGGCAGAAGCAGGAGTTAGGAGGGGTAGAGGTAGACCTAGATTAGATTAGTGTTCACAAATAGTTAAGGATGTGGGTTGTTCTAGTTTTAGGGAAATGCGAAGTTTAGCTCAGGTTAGGAAAAAGTCGAGGTAGGTGTCCAACCAGTCTTAGGACTGACGACCTTATAATGATGATATAATTAGTTAATAGCAGTTACGGTAGTATTTCCCGCACACAGTTTAAAGTTGAACATACATTCTAAAGTTACAAGTTACAAGGTTTCGTTGTAAATCTAGAGCATACCCAATTAAATCCGACACAACCTATTCCAGCTGATAACATTTCGCCCACGACAGCTGGAAACGAGTTCGCTGTGGGACAATATGCATGAAAATTGGGAGAGTGCCAGTGTGTCACTCCTGGCATGATAACTCGTTCAACGTCCCGCAACACGTCCTGCCACTTCTCGCCGAACTGCGGCGCTTCCCCTGGTATCAGTTTTTCCAAATAGCCGGGCTCTACTGATGTTAGAACTTTCCTAAAATATACCGTTATTCACAGCGTATGCTAAGAAAGTAACCACCTTACATGTTAAAATATTATATTATATATCAAATTGCAGATTTGAATTGCTATTTCTTAATGTAAATAATTTCATTTCGTTTGCGATTAGAAAATTTATAAATTCGTTATCAAAAAGATTAAATAGCAGAGGACCAACATGCAGGCGCTGAGAAGCTCCTGATGTAACGTTTGTTGATGTACAGTAGAATCCGCTTATAATGACATCGAAGCGAAGCATAATCTTAGAAAATAAAAAACCTTCTATTTTGGTTAGTTACTTGGTTTAATAGAGAGAAAAACTACAAATTGTATATATTTATAAACAGAAAAAGAAAAAGAACGATGAATTGTAAAAATCAACATACATAAGAATGGTCAGAAAAATGAGCGAAAATGTTATTATTAATCATTTGGGTCACTACAACCAGATATGATTTCTTGAGAATCAGTCATAATAAACGATATGTCATTTTAAACGGACTCATTATATCCAAACTTTCCTACAGAGAATTTAATATGAAAACCAAACTTAACACTGCAATTACTTCATATTAAGCGGTTGATCAATATAGCCGGAGTCATAATAAACGAATTCCACTGTAGTTAAGCTATTTCTGACGTTTAGATACATTTTGAATTCGATCAGTTAAATAAGTAATTTAAACATTATATTTATCCTTATTTTGGATAATTATAAACAACCATTTGAATAGGTACTTTAATATGAAAAATTTCGACCACTAATGAATGTAAAGTATAATACCAGCAATTGTTGTAAGTAAATTATTTATTGAAAACAATAATTTCATTTTGAACTTCCTGAAGCGTTGAATTTTATTTCTTTAAATATTTCGTTATCTATCAAAAACGTATACATAGGTATTAATTACAAGCCTTTCGTAATCGTTCAAAAGAAAGTAGTAGTAATAGTATACACTCAAAAGTGTAAATTTATTACGCAGCTTCTAAATTTTCTTTTAACAGATTTTTATTTAGCTATCAATGTTTAGACACTTTCTACTTTTAAAGATTTCGTCGAGGAGATATTTTCGCTTAGTCACATAATATCTTACGATAGTCCAATTGATAAATTAATTACAGATAAAGAAACAATTACATGTGACCTTGTTAAGTCTACGTTTAGTTTCCTTAACCTTAAGTACTTAAATAGAACCATATTTACTTTGTACTTCCTCTTGTACATTTGCAGGAAGGACATAAAGTATGTACAATAACCACTCGAAATTTTTTTCTTGTACAGTAAGTTAAACAGCTAGTACTTATTTATTATAAAGGTCTTCATTAATTATTTATTTAAGTCAAGTTCAAGTATTCGTAGATGCATAAAATTGGTGATTTAAATGGAATTATATCGATTATATTATATTGTCTTTTCGTAAATCTAATAGTTTCAAAAATAAAATAGGTATCGTTATATCATGTTATTTATGCACAATTTCGATAATTACATCTTTGAAGATGTTTTTTGGAAACATTCTTACATTATGGTTGGGGGAGGGTATTAGTGTAGCGTGAAGAATTAGACAATGGGGGGTTTAGGGTAACGGCTAAATTTGACGTTCGCATAACAGTAACAAAAACGTAGAAATTTCAGCGTGAAGTGACAAAAAAGGGTATAAAACTTGAGTAACCAAGTGTGACAAAGGGGGGGAGGGGGAAGTAAAACGCACGACAAGGAGTGACAAGGGGAGATGGGGTTCAAGAGAAACAAAAGCAGCGTAAGATAATGCAGTATGTCATATGCATATATATGAATAGCTCATTTATAATTAAAAGAAAATTCATTTTAACTTGATATAATATACCCCTTCCACCTCTTCAGTCATCTTCCCATTCCCAACAGTTTCTTAGAGCTCATTCATGAAAAATATGAGATAAGGGATCGTGCATAAAATAAGCCACCCAGAATTACGCTTCCCTCTGCCTTTGCCCCACTAAGTCGCACCTTCAGCAACCCCCCTAAGAAACATTACGTCACAAAAGCTAGTCTGTCCCTCCCCTATAAACGATGTAAAATAGTAACGAAAATGATGTCAAGTTAAGAAAAACATTAAAATAAAATTGTTAAATTGCAAACGTCACCTTTCCTTAGACCTCCCTATCCCCCTTATCATATCTCATCACGTTAAACAATACCCCTCCTTCCCTCTTATTTATGAACGTATTTTATGAACAACCCCTATCTGATTATTAAACAATATCTTGTAATATTCTCTTAAATGTGAGAAAAAAATATACAAAACCAATAAGAGATTAATTTTCTCGTTTGAAATAATCTTTATTATGTTGTTTTAAACGAAGATGTTCTTATATTATTGATCAGTTATAGAGGAAGAACATAAAGAAGTTAGTTTCAATTTGAAAAAACTTTGGTCTCGTTACAATGTAATTTAACCGCTCTATTTAATTTATAATAATGTGATTGGCATTAATTTTTATTATAATATTAGTATCAACAATATTTTCTTTAGTTACCTCTCCCTAATAGTATCTGAATAATTTGCAATATAATCGACCATGGCTTTGCCAAACTCCCGAAATTGTTGAGAGTCCATCTTCTTTCGATTTGAGACGACCACGGCGACGCTCACTTCGATGACGGACAGCTTTCGCTTTCGATTCGAACAGTATCACTCTCACTCACTTTCTGTCATATTCAACAACAAACTGACTAATGAAGTTCCGAGGTGTTAAAGGCGAGAAAGCGCATCGAATTTAGCATGTAATCGCTTCGTTTCATTGGTACAAATTAGTGAAAACATCGTTCCCCCTCATACACATATCTTAAAGTGAATAGAACATATACAAGTCTTTTACTCGTCATATGACTATTTTCGTGAATAGAGAAGGTTAGAAATGAGAAGGTGTTAAAAATAGTAAGAGAACAGAGGACAGAGGGCACCTTCTTAGGCATGAAGGTTAGTTAGAAACATATTAGAAGCAGAAGCAGGTATTAAAAGGAGTAGAGGTAGACCTAGATTAGATATTATGGATGTTGTATCACAAATAACACTCTAAAATCCAACTCAATCTCAAGTGAGAAATCCTTACTTGCTACAAAATTGAAGACTGAATGTGAAAACGTGCCCAAGTTTTATAAAGTTTGATGTCTAAAGTAAAAGATATCTGCCCTGGAGATTATTAAATNCGTTTCATTGGTACAAATTAGTGAAAACATCGTTCCCCCTCATCATACACATATCTTAAAGTGAATGGAACATATACAAGTCTTTTACTTGTCATATGACTATTTTCGTGAATAGAGAAGGTTAGAAATGAGAAGCTGTTAAAAATAATAGGAGAACAGAGGACAGAGGGCACCTTCTTAGGCATGAAGCTTAGTTAGAATCATATTAGAAGCAGAAGCAGGAGTTAAGAGGAGTAGAAGTAGACCTAGATTAGACATTATGGATGTTGTAACATAAAAAACACTTTAAAACCCAAAATTCTACCGTTTTTGTCAACTCAATCTCAAGTGAGAAATCCTTACTTGCTACAAAATTGAAAATTGAATATGAAAACGTGCCTAAGTTTTATAAAGTTTGATGTCTAAAGTAAAAGATATCTGCCCTGGAGATTATTAAATGTTCCATATCTGTTCCCGTAACTTCCCTTTAATTCTCTACAGTCTACGTTTTCATAACATTGTCTAGCTTTTCATTTAAGCAGTAAATTTTACTTAGAGAAGCAAACAATACGTATGTACTCTCCTTTGACCGGATAAAATCGAGTTACAAGAGCTATTCTTTTAGACAAATTGTTTTGTATATCTCAGCTGACGATCGTAAAAATCTTTTGTATCTGAAGCGCCCTCATGAGCCTCCCGATAATTCTCTGGATACTCAAACGAGAGTGGCTGTTGAACGTGTGTCCACACTTAACGTTATTATTTGTCGTGGAAAAATCTGCCGGNTATGAAAACGTGCCCAAGTTTTATAAAGTTTGATGTCTAAAGTAAAAGATATCTGCCCTGGAGATTATTAAATGTTCCAAATCTGTTCCCGTAACTTCCCTTTAATCCTCTACAGTCTACGTTTTCATAACATTGTGTAGCTTTTCATTTAAGCAGTAAATTTTACTTAGAGAAACAAACAATACGTATGTACTCTCCTTTGACCGGATAAAATCGAGTTACAAGAGCTAATCTTTTAGACAAATTGTTTTGTTTATCTCAGCTGACGATCGTAAAAATCTTTTGTATCTGAAGCGCCCTCATGAGCCTCCCGATAATTCTCTGGATACTCAAACGAGAGTGGCTGTTGAACGTGTGTCCACACTTAACGTTATTATTTGTCGTGGAAAAATCTGCCGGTTCGTCGTCCAGTCACGCATCGATATCTAATCTCGGTCTTTAGACAAATGTACCACACGCACCATCTATACTTTTATTATTACGGCGTGGCGTGCTTACCATTTTGTCCGTCTCTGTCTGTCTCTCTATTTCGCGTGATAATTTCATTGTTTCTCCCTTGCGTGACCAAGTACGAAACCCTTTGTTCGATTAGGGAGCTCTCGTGCAGGTCAGGCCCTAATCTGTAGGTACTAACTGTCGCCAAAAGTTAAGAGCACTTTTTATCCGAGCTAAATAGTGAGTCAAAATGTGAAAGTGTTCTTTTATTCATTCTAGGAAACACGTTTTTTGGAGAATGGGTATGGGGGGGGGCTATCGTCAAAAACAAATAGTCTTCAAAAAACATTAGATAGACTAATTTTATTATATTTGTTGCACGAGGATTATAAATGATACTTTATAATAAAAGGTTGCTTATATGTAACCGAAGTCAGAGTAGTCAGGACAGAAGGAGTAGTAGGAATATAAAGCAGAGGATAGCGCAGGTTGGAGTCACCTTCAATAATACGAAGTATGCTTGCGAACGGTTAATTTAGAAATTCGAAAATGATTGGTACGGGTGTATGTTTGAAGCGAGACAGTGTACGGGTGCGAAACATGAACGGTGGGCGCGGCAAAAAAAGAAAAGATTAGAAGAGTTCGAAATGTGGTTTTATAGCCGAATGATGAGGATACCGTGGATAGAGAAGGTTAGAAATGAGGAGGTATTAGAAAAAATAGGAGAACAGAGGACTCTATGGAAGTCAATAAGAAATAGGCGAGATTGGTTGGTAGGACACCTTCTCAGGCATGAAGGTCTACTCAGAGACATATTAGAGGCAGAAGCAGGAGTTTAGAAGGAGTAGAGGTAGACCTAGATTAGATTTCTGTTCACACATAGTTATGGATGTGAGATGTTCTAGTTTTAGGGAAATGCGAAGATTAGCTGAGGATAGGAAAGAGTGGAGGTACGTGTCTTACCAGTTTTAAGACTGACGAACTTATGATGTTGATTTGTATGCAAGGTGTTTATTAAATGTACAGCACAACTTGAAGTGGGTTATTTCCTGGATATATATGTATATAAACAAGAATACATCAAGTAAAGAAAGTGAATATATAGATTGGAGCTTAACATTTGACTAGGTGTCATAAAGAAAGGTATCAAATTTCAAGGAGTTCAGCTACTCTAATTAATATTATTTCTTTTATTTTATTAATAAAAATCACAATCTACCCTGGGAGGTAGTTGCCTACCTGTTTTAACGTAACCTGCACGTTGTTTAATATCTAAAAGTCATCTTCAATGTACGTATAAAATATTGATGTTAATACCTGCCTGTCGTTGCGCAACATAGTGCTCCATATGCGTACATGTCCCCAATGACACCCCATTGACGTCGAACTCCACCCTCCATAATAAATGATGATGCTTTTAAAGCGCCGTTTTAGTTATTACCAGAATGACTTTTGCCGCACGCAATTGTGTCATTTTCACTGAATTCCATACAGCGAAATACTCAAACATGGAACAGTATTGAATATAAACTGCCGGAAAAATCTATAATCAGTTAAAGATATTGTACCTACCTACAATACTTCTCCTATATTTGTTTCTAACATATACTGAAGTAACAAAATAATAATACAAAAACACATAAGCATCGCAGAACACCCTAACTTATGAATAAATGTTACACCTAGTGGTATAAATTTATATTATAAAACCTACTACTGTTATTAATCATATTATACTTCGTTTACTTTCTGTAGCGATGTGACCTTCAGTTTGACTGGCGCAAGGTAGAAAAGAACAGCACTAGGCCTGAAAAGGAAGGAGACAACTCTCGGCTAAACTCTTAACCGGTGAGGAGCGTATCATCCGTACAGTACTGCACGGAAAAATTGATCATTTATCCACTACAATTGCATTGCTCAAATGTGCTGTTTTTGATACCATTTACTACTGAAAATATCAACGAGGTGTTTATTTATATTTGAAGACATATATTAAAGGCTTCAACGCTTGTTTTCGACTCGCACTACTATTCATGATTGAACAAAACTTTTGGCAGGTACTGTATGAAAAAGCATGTTTAATGAACAAGAGTCGAGAGTATAATGAGCTTTTTTCTCCCTACCTACGATTTTGCCAGCGCGCATCCAAGACATTGGAAGGGACACATCGCTACAGAAAGTAAATGAAGTATAATTAATGTGAAAATTGTTATTGTCTTATTGTCCTTGATTGGAAATGATAATTAATCTATCAATGCACTTAATCTCATTTCTCGTTGTCAAATAGGTTAAATGTTATCTGAGATGGATTTCTTGGTGATTATCATTTTTAGGGTTGCGTTACTTAGTTTGTATTTACGTAGGTTTAGAAAAGGGCGCGTCACACCGGTGTTCGGTACATGTTACACATATATATACTATTCGATGTCCACAATGGACCTTCTCCCCATGTCCACCCCCTTTTGCATGGCACGTGGTCATACACCACATGTTAGTCGCGTGCCGAAGAACTCTGTCAAGTGCCAGGCATACGTTGGATTATAAGTTTTATCATCAGTATATATCACCGTAGCAGTCGATCTCCTGGCCTGTTTTGTAAGTCTTCTGCACATCTGCTCCAAGAGCAAAGAATCCGGATCAGGAAATCAGTTTTGCAACCAACAGGGTAATATTGTCCTACTCCTAGATGGTTTAATTTTCAATCTCAAAAATCTATTAAAAACTGACTGTTTTTTAACTAGACGTTTTGATATTTTGTTGTTGTTTTCTCTAATTTATCCATTATTTAACCAAAGGCAAAGTATCTGCTTCAGGAAATTAGTTTCGCAACCAGCAGGATAAAATTGTCCTACTCCCAGATGGTTTAATTTTCAATCTCAAAAATCTATTAAAAACTGACTGTTTTTCATGACTATTTTTGAGTAATTGTTTTTGGTAATTTGTTGTTGCTTTTTTTTCTTTATTTATCCAGAATGTTCACTACGGCGAATTTTATCGGTGACAAGAATACAAATTTAAAGGGTAGATGAAAAAAGATGTTGCTTTTTGTAAATGGAAAATTGGAAACTGATATTTTCATTCATTAATTTTCCCTAGACAAAAATTTTCAGTCTCTCTCCAGCCTCTCAGAGTCTTTCAGCGTCTCTGAGAGCATCTCTCACAGTCTCTCAGTTATTGCCTAGGTGTTTTTATGGATCTCTCACAGTCTCTGTATGAGAGACTCGAACGATAAAATTGTTAATTCAGAGATTCGAGTCTCTCACAGAGAGACTGAATGAATAAAACTGAAAAATTGA